TTTAGTAGGGTTTGCAATTTCTTCATGGAAGGATATACGATCTAACAACGAATCGAAATTATAAAAATTTACTATAGAAATTGAGAGTCAGTGGCCTCAACTTTAAGAGCGCTTCTTCCAATTTATGGTCGTCATAATCGTCCTGTCAGGCACAGTACAAAATACTGCAGCTAACGCATCAAGTGAGGAAGACCCAAATCAGTCTCTCACCCGTCGGTCTCAACCCATGGGCAGCTCGCGAAGAGATCTTGCCCTACATTCTTACGAGATCAAATTGAACAAAAAGTGAAGCTGCTTGACCACCTAAATCGTCGTATGTTCGCGAATTGGGCTGAGCAACAACTTGAAAATTATCCGAATTTTCATCGAAAATTATCAAAATCTTCAGCAGTGATTCTCATTTCCGGCTGAATGGCTTCGTCAATAAGTAAAATATGCATTATTAGTCAGGCAGCAATTCACACATATTCCATGAGTCATCATTGCATCCCGAAGAAATTACCGTTTGGTGGGGTTTGTAAACCGGCGGCGTGATTGGGTCGTACTTTTTCCGTGATCACTAAGAATGGAAATCGCTACCGCTCAAAGATAACCGAATATTTTTGGCCCGAAATGGATGATATTGATTTGGACAATATGTGGTTCCAGCAGGATGACGCCGCAAGCCACACAACGAATGCCACAATCGGTTTTTTTTTTAAACCAAATTTGGTGAACGTGTTATCTCACGAAATGGCTCAGTCAACTGACATCGAATGTATTTTCACAGAGATAAAAAGTATCATTAATATTGTAGCGTTCTTATTGCAAACCCCTTTATATATTTCTATCGAAACTTGAAGCAACATGTTGCGCACAATGTCTGCGGTCTCCATTTAAGATTCGAAGATGGGCAAAATCGGCCCACTGCCACGCTCACAAAATGGCGAAAACCTATATAGTGTCATAACTACGCCATAAATAAATATATTAAAGTGAAATTTGGCACAACTGATCGCATTAGGGAGGGGCATATTTGGACGTAATTGTTTTGGAAAAGTGAGTGTGGCCCCGCCCCCTACTATGTTTTTTGTACATATCTAGGAAACTACTATAGCTATGTCAACCAAACTCCGTAGAGTCGTTTGCTTCAGGCATTTCCATATACAGTTCAAGAATGGAAGAAATCGGATAATAACCACGCCCACCTCCCATACAAAGGTTATATTGAAAATCACTAAAAGTGCGTTAACCGACTAACAAACAACGTCAGAAACACTAAATTTTACGGAAGAAATGGCAGAAGGATGCTGCACCCAGGTTTTTTTGTTTAAATTGAAAATGGGCGTGGCGTCGCCCACCTATGGACCTAAAACTATATCTCAGGAAGTACTCAACCGATTTCAATGAAATTCGGTACATAATAGTTTCTTAACACCCTAATGACATCTACGAAATATGGGTGAAATCGGTTCACAACCACGCCTTCTTCCAATACAACGCTATTTTGAATTCCAGCTGATGCCTTCTCTGTATAATATATACATTAGGAACCAATGGTGATAGCGGAATAAAACTTGACACAAATACGGTATTTGAGCTGAGGTATTCCTTGTGGAAAAATCAAGGTCCCTGACATCGAACACGAAGAACTCAGTGCCTAGCATAACCTAACCTAATTTTTCACCTAAAATATCGGTAAATCTCTCAGATATTTTTATGTAAATCAGAGGGCATCATTTTTATACTCTCGCAATAAAGGTGCTAATAATAGTATATATCGTCAGATATATGGTTACATACATTTACCAAAGTGATTAGGGTGACGAGTAGAGTTGAAATCCGGATGTCTGTCTATCCGTCCGTGCAAGCTGTAACTTGAGTAAAAAATGAGACATCTTGATCAAACTTGTCATGCGAGAGTATCAAATGTTCGGTGACACCCGAACTTAGTCCTTCCTTACTTTTTAAGTATTGATCATTTGCAGCAAATGCATTGAATGAATACAGATTTTTGTTTATAGAAACGAATTAAGTTTTCCTATATTAACTTAGTATTATTTTACTATCGAATAAAATATACTTTCTTTTAAAACTAGTTAATAAATTTATTGAAACTCCTTTCTTCAGGGTTTCAGCCCTTTAATTGTAGGGGCGTGTATTTACGGTAATTCCTTGGCAGCCAAACATTTAAATTTAATTCTTTTCCTTTTGTAATCGTATTTTTTAATTTTTAAAATTTTTTCATTTTTTATCCAATAAATGCTGCTATTATCTTAAAAAACACTTTTTTTCATTTGTCGCTCCAATTTTAATTTTAAAAAAATTATCAACTTCCAATGGATTGAAAGTTTGAAAAGTATGTTTTTTTTGTGGTTTCAATTTATAAATTTAAAAGAACCGGAAATTTGTAATGCAATTGCACTTTAAATTTTTTACGGATCTTGGATTGAAAATTAAATTTTATATTTTTAATCCTAAATCACAATTTTTGTATTAAATTTAAATTAAATCAATTTAATGTTTAGTTGTTGTTTATTTATGTTATTTTTATCATTGATATAATATTACTTTTATATTTAAAATTTTACTTCTACTTTTAATATCTCCAAAAACAATCACTTAATTAATCCCATCAACCACAAGTGTTCCACTCAACATTCATCAAGTTTGTTGCTTAAGTCTTCGGGATGGCACAGCACGTCAACAAACCAGTGAGGCATAACCAAATTAACCAAAATATTTTTGCACTGCAACAACTCGCTGCTAGGCGCAGCAAATTAAATTAAGCTGTAAATTGTCACCTGCTGCTCGACGACTGCAACTAAAGCAAGTCACCAACACCACAAACAACAACCAGAACTAACGTGCGGCAGACAGCCAACAGACGAACAACTAGCAAAACATTTTTTGAAGAAATACGTTGCTGTAACTGTTAACTTAACATGCAACCATTTGTTGCATACAAATGTACACAGCATACTGTTGTTGTTGTTGTTATTATTACCATACCATTTGTGTTGCGGTGCATTTTTATGTGTTTCGCATATTTAACACCTGATTCAGTTGTAAGTTGCAAATCACCGGGCAACAAACAACACCTACAGACGACCAAAGCAGCTGAACGCTAGCTTTTGTGCGCCACTGCACTGCAACAATACGAAGCAGCAGGACTTACAGCAAACAAGTGTAGCAGTTGTCGCGTGTCCTTTGCGCATAACTTTAAATGGAGAATTTGTGTCTCAACACGGCAGCAACAGTTGCTGCTGTAGTAGTCAAGTCAACTAAATGGAAGCATAAATATATAGGTGAATGTATGCATGCACATACACCTGCACTTAGTTGCATGTGGCATGACAGTTTTTTGGAATTTTTTATTGTTAGTATGTCTGTCAGCGGCGGCTCTTCTCATTTTTACTGAGCTACATTCAAGTCTCCATTGGTTGTTGGCTCCAGCGTTGCGGTTTGTTGTTGATGCTGTCAACACATGTTGCTGCTAACTTTCGGCGACATTGTTGTTGACACATAGAAAACGTTGCGTTTATTTACACAATTCATTCTAAGCATTTGCGTTGAATTAATTTGTGTCAGCTGATAAGCTAGCGCGACATATTAAATTTGTAACAATTCCGGATTATATTATAATCTAAATAAGTTTTTGAAACTATTAAAAACAAGAAAAAGCGTTTACTTCGATTCGGTTGCTTCACAACTAAAATATGTTAGAACTTGTTTTAAATCAGTCAGTTTGTATGACTGATGTATGCTATAGTGACCTAATTTGAATAATACTATATGTACTTTCCGAAATTTTACAGTGACCTTAAAATATAATCCATGTCAAATATCTTGAAGATATCTCAAAAAAGTTTTTCATACAACTTGATTTTGATCGTTCAATTTGTATTGGAGCTATGCATATGATATAATGGTCGGATTCCGGCAAATGAGCAGCGTCTTGGGGAGAAAGGAACGTGTGCATAATTTCAGATTGTACCATATTCACTTGTTTACTCTAGTGCCCAACTTGACTGCGACATTATTTCAGTCTCAGCTGAAGTATCTGGGAGTAATGTTGGACTCCAAATTAATATGTAATTAACATGTGGCGTATACTTCGGGTAAAGCAAACAAAATATTTAACTTCACATAGCGGTAGTTTTTCAGTGGAAAATTTAACAGCACTCATTTCTCAGTCCTCGGGTAAATGGAAAGCTATCAGCGAAGCGTCAGCTCTAATTATGACAAAACTAAGACATACATATATGGTATATTAGGTGTCAGTCGGTCCGTACAATAGAAGAGACTTTAATGTCTTCTTCCCTCCTATGAATTAATACTTTATCCATGAATTCGGAGTAGGTTAGATTTAACGAATTACTTCGATACTTCCTCCTACAAAAAAAAATTTGTTCATGAATATATAAAGATCTTTTCCAGCAGATACTGATTTACAAAGTCAGCTACTTAAATTAATAAAAAAGAATAAATCTTGTTAATTTTGCTTCCGCCACTTTTTTTTTTCATTTTTTGAAGCATTTTTGTTGTTTGAAATCGTAGTGGTCTTTCCATTTTAGTAGGTAGAAGAAGGCATATAAAAAACAAGTTCAAAGCATATTCAAAAATAATACAAATATTGTTTAAACTTGTCTATTAATATATATCTTAGAAGTCCGAGGAGCCTACATGAAAATAATTTGAAGACAAAGGATCCCCATTTTTTTAATGAATAAACATGTGGCTGCAAAAGTAAAGATAAATAGCAAAAATATTATCCATTTCATCGGCATTAAAGGTAAATTGGACACTGACATCACACGAATAATTTGCTATCGCGTTTGACAACTATTTAAAGGGTTAGGTTGTCAAAAATTTTAAATTGATAGCGCAAAACTTCTTTGAAAATAAGCTAAACTAACTAAATGAAATAAATTGTATCAAAGAATAAAAGTTCATTATTAAATGTTTTATAGCAAATATTTAAAAAGACCAAAATTACTTAACTAATACAAAATCACGCATTATACCATACGCTAAAGAAACTATGAAAGTTAGCAAAAATATTTTAAGGCACACATACTTAAAAATAAAGAAATACTAAAAAAAGCGTACATAAGTACACAAAAACATACACCAAACAAATTGCGTAGACACGAAACAATCAATATCTCTCATATTTTGGTTTGTGCAAGCCGCCGCTGACAGCACCGCCACCACCACTGCTGTTGCCTCCCACACCTGCAGTATTGCCTCCACCAACATTTGCCGACAAATTGCCGGCGTTATTGTTATTGCCAGTATTACTGTAGGATGTGTTATTATTATTGTTGTTGCTAGCGTTATTGCCCGAAACGCTATTATTGCCATTATTTCCTGTGCTAACGCCGCCCATTACACCACCAGCAGCTGTTGTATTTGTGACCAACGTGTAAACTTCATAATCGACAACCGTAAAATTGTAATCACCAAAGAGTGTCAAATAGGCGGCATTTGGGCCATCATATGAGTGCGGCAAATTCGAATAGGAATCCATATTAGTATTGCAATTGTTGGCAATAAGTAAATCGGCGCCAGCACCAAAAATTGGACCGCAACTAGTAAGTGAAAAAATATAAAATATGTCTTATCGGAAAACTATTCGGTGTCTCACTCTGGGTGATAGCAAATGGCATAGGGTTTTTTGATGATATCGAACTTCACCGGCGGATCACCGCCAGCGGGATTAAGCGCAAATAGAAACGCGCGCTCAGAATGTATATAACCGCCTTTACGACTCGTTTTTGCCCAAGCAACATCAGTGTAGCCACCGCTTAGTTCACCACGTGAACCCTACATTGAAAAAAGTTCATTACTTTTATATAAATGCATTATTTTAAATTTCACTTACAATGCCAATAATGAAACAGGGTGCTACGCCATCACAGTAGCGATGAAAAGCGCTTGAAGAATAACCATGTGTTGATGCGCGGAATACCAAACGCCAAGATTGTTTGGGCATACCATACCTATATAAGAAGATAGTTGCACTAGTAGAATCATATATGAGACCTATTTCTCATATCGCCTACGCTTACCATCCATTTAGCACACTTTGTAAATGCAATTTATCATTGCGCAACAACTGCGAACCGGGAAACATGTTGACGGTCAAGCGCGGCTGTAAACGTTTATCATCTTCGGTCATGCCCGGTATGGAGGGCAGCATTTGTCCACCGCCGACACCACCACCTCCCTTATTCGAGTGTAAAGCTGCATAACGATAACGTTCCAACGACAATTCCATAGGTACAGCACCGGTGGGTTCTACCTCTTCGGCAAATACTTGACTATCGATTAGCAACAAACGCACGTGACACATTACACCAGATAGATGCTGGCAAACGCGAGCACGTTCCTCTTCCGTCCAGTGTGCGGTAGGTTGTGTGACACCAGCTTGATTCTTAGCCCAGGCGAGCACGCAACGCCAAACATCCTCCTCTTCGAGGCAAAACTTATTAAAGATAAACAAATATTTACTATTAAAAAATACATAATTTATACGATAGTACTCACATAATCAGAAGATATTAGTTTTACTAATGCATCCTTGGTTAAGTTGAGAAAAGCATTAGTCTTAGCACACTCACTGGCATTTTCGCCAATGTAGATAATGCAACGTTCCATAAATGAAGCGGCGCATTTTGCTCCTGTAAATTGATTAGGGTAAATACATAAGCGGTTTAATACATATTTATATGTCATGAGGTTTTATCTTTCCATTATTAATATATTATCCAATCTTCCATAAATCACTTCGAAAACCTTCAATAAAGACAACTTTTTTTCTTTTATCATAACTCACTTTTATTTTTTCACATTCATTGCAATTGGAACAAACCTAAATTCAATTACAATCGTTTATAAACTAACTTATTTATAGTTCAATGGTTCCATGCATTCGTTTATCCACCATTGTGCAGCCTGAGTTCTTATTGGTGCATCATAGAAAATACACATTTTGCATACAGTTTAAGTAAATGTAGTAAAGAATTTACGGTATTAGTTTAAATTTATGCATAATATTAAAGTCTAGATGTTCCACTAGTCGCCTACATTTGGGAACGCCACTTTCCCCAGAATTGCGCTCTTTCGGTTACTGTGGCACATAACCTCACTTTTGTTGCGCCGCTTAATCTTTTGACGGGCTTACATTCTGTATCAATGTTATATTATCACCCTTCAGCATGATGCGTCCAAGATTCTTGCGTGTACGCGTCTTCACCCAAACTTCCTCAGCATCATCCAGCACCAGATTCATATATTCATCGAAACCAACAATGTGTCCCTCGATGCGCAGCGAAACGTTTTCATATAGCCATACTTGTACGCGCGAACGATTCTGTAGATAACGAAAGATGAGATTGATGGGTTGAACCATCACCTTTTGGACCTTGGTATTGCCTTTGAAAGACATTTTGGAGCTGATAACTTTATACTTTTTGGAGCTATTTCGGAAAATATATAACTTCTAAGCGTAAACGATTGCCGGCGTCGTTTACCAATGAATTGTTTGACAGATACATGCAAAACGTCAAATTAGCGGTGAAAGTAATGCCTAAATTAACTAAGGGAGAAATCGCGCCTTAAACAGTTGCATTTTAGCTGATTTATGGCCGTTAGCTCAATGTCTGATTAGTAGTCAGTTCTGAATAAAAATGATTATGTACCCAAAGGAATGGTCAGGATTAAGTTGCTAATCAGACATGGAGAAAACAGCTGTAAGTTTTAATGTATAACTTACCACATGAGTAAAACCATCTTTTAGATACTATTTGTAGAAATTTTGGTGTTAAAAACTATTAATATGTGTAACATTTGATTATAATTTATGTACACATATTTATAAAAATAAAGCTTAATATTTAGGTTAATTTATAGAAACGATTTTCTACCCGACTGTAAATAGTAAAAGCTATTCTCAATTATTTATCAGCTTTGTACCAAATATTTTTATATTTAACATTTAAATACTTTTATTATATCTAATATTTAGAGGAATCAATTTCTTATATTCTATGGATTTATTAACTTTCTTGTCAGCGGCACCCTGTTTCATTGTTGACATACTTCTCTGAGAAATCATAATTGTAAATAAAGAGTCGACAGATGGCGCTAAAGATTGTGTTAAACAACAAGCAAACAGGTTGCAGTGCCTAGTCGAGACAACAACAGTTTCTTCGTTACCACACGAAGTGGATTTATGGCGAATATTAGGTAAAAATATTCATACAAATATTTCATAAAGTTAATATTTTTTTTATGTTTAAGATTGTGTATTATTTTGCTACATATATTTATTTACGAATTTTTTAATCATTATTTTGGTGCGAAATTTCTAAAAGGATGTTAATGCGAACTAAGTATGGCAACCTTTATTCGATAGCGCAAATATTAGTTTCACTTTCCCGGTGCAGTTTATTCAGAACATTTGTTGATATTTCGTGTTTGCTAAAATTATTGTGCTAATGAAATCTGCAATTTATTTAGTTTGTTTGAATGTGATAAGTGTATGGTAAATAGTGTTATTTGTATACAATGTAGTACAGGTGCTATATCGTTAAATGCAACTAGGCTAGGCGCAAGCAAATGTTTCCTGTTGAGCGCTCAGAGCAGGGCGGAAGTGCGGAATATAAGTCTATCTAAGGCTCGTCTTAGTACATTTAAGATTGCTGCGCAATTTGAGGAAATCTTTAAGCTCTATGACATCAATGCACATGCAGCAACAATTGGTGGGCTAACAAATGGCGAATTTAATACTACTGCGGCATTGTAGTAAATGAAAACAACAACAACAGTTAACAACATACCCCACTTGTTATACGTGTGTGTGTGGTAAGTGAAAATATATAAGTGTTTTTATACTAATACTAACATAAGTACACTTTAACTGCAGTACACCTCAGTAACCACAATCATGGCAATGTTGAACATAAATTGTATACAGTTGAACTTCCCCAACTCGAATCACCGTAATCCCCAAGCAAACTACGAGTAATGCAATAAAATTCGTTAGGAATTTGTTTTACATTGCCTCCATTGTCAACTGAAAAATTCAAGTTTCGGAGAACTTCGAGTTTTCTGGTTCGAGTTATGACAGTTCAATTGTACATTAAATTGTTTTATGGCGTTGCAGCATACAAACAGAAAATATTCACTCTAAAATCTAAAACAGCAAAAGCTTCTAGTAAATAAGTGTAGTTCATAAAAAAGTACCTTTGCTTCTGAGCTCTTACGCTAATATATGTTTACGTCATACCTGCTTTTTCGTGTATTTCCATGACCGAAGTGAGAAATGTGCATGCATTGTCTACTGATAATGTTGAAATCACATGATCTTCACATGCCGCACGCAATTCTTCCACGCCCATATCTTGCGCGAGTGTCATCATCTCGAAAACACGTGAATCTTGCAGCATAATCTGGAAATTTTTCGCATATTAAGCAACATGTTTGTAACTTTTACTCGAAATCATTAATTTTTTATTTCATTTACCTTCGCTGTGTAGACATATACGATGAATTGGCGGAATACATCCGGATTGACATGCGGCAGTCGCACAGGCGTGGGTGTACCGGGCGCTGCTGGTGACACAGAGCAGCCGGGTATGCGACAGATTTCGCCGCGCTTAGCCGTTTTAAAGCTCTTGCAGCTGTAATGTGCAAAAATATTCATATTTTCATTTAACCTATAATTTAATTAATGCGAATGTAACGTTATTATTATTTATGCGCAATTAGTTGGCATTTTTTATACATGAATTGCAAGTTGCATGTTGCAAGTAATACAATACATTACGAAAGCGGCGTGATAAGTGTAAATGAAAAAAAGTATATGAAGAATTAATTAACTATAAAAAATGTAATTAAGTCATAAATGCCATCCATGCTTCCAGCCAAACAACGGACGCCACACAATCTCTGCTAAATATAATTAATACATAAAGGAATTGCCGCTCAACAATTAAAATTTGCAACAAGCGTAAAAATAAATGAATTAAACATGTGCCGCAAAAGTTTAAATGAAATACAATTAAATAGAATACAATAAATGCATGACAACAACTATGGATATTGAAGAATAATTAAAAAATTGCAACACGCGCTGCCTGCGTAACTGAATCACACTGCTTGCCGCAAGAAACACTGTGCGGCTTTTTACAAAAGTGATCACATTACAGCATTTTGCAATGGAAGCCGATGCGAGAAAAAGCTTTGACTTATAACACTTGCAAAGAGGCTATAATACCCTTCACAAATAAAAAAGTTATTCATACAAGAACTTGATTTTGATCTTTCAGTTTGTATGGCAGATATACTCGTACATACTCGTATATGCTACACTAGTCCGATCTCAACAATTTGTTAGGAGAATTTATCGTTAACTTGAGCAATAATAATTTCATGAGGATAACGTCTCAAATAAAAAAAAATACTTAAGTTCAGTTTGTATGACAACTATTGGTGGTTCCATTTGGGCAATGTTTAATTGGAGTTTCCTTTACCTTGAGCAATAATCCTTGCTGACTTTCGTGAAGATATTTTCTCTAAAAAAAAAGGTTTTCATACAAGAAATTGATCTTGAATTTTCAGTTTGTATGCCAGATATACATATATACAGGGTGTGTTCCAAAGTAAACAGGACTTAAAAAAAACAGAATAAATGGTTTTTTCGGCGAAATCTATTTATTTTAAGCAAAATAGTCACCTTCTGCTTCAATACAGCTTTCTGCACGGTCCAAGAGCATGTCGAACGAGTGTTTTAGCTTGTTGGCTGGGTTGGCCGCCAGCCTTTTGAATGGCCTCTACGTCTGATAACGCTTTCTTTTCATGGGCAAATACATTTTTCCGAAAAGGAAGAAGTCGCACGGTGCCATATCAGGTGAATACGGGGAGTGGTTAATGGTTAAAATGTGATTTTTGGTCAAATAATCGTCCTTAGAATGTTGGATTCTAAGCAATTTTTGGTCTTCAGTCGATTTGTGAGGAACAAATCGTGCACACACCTTTCGTAAGCGCAAATGTTCGGTCAAGATGCGATAATCGGTGTTTTGGACATGTTCAATTCCATTTCCATGAATTTCAATGATGATTTCGGCGGATTTTTGATGAATTCACGCACAGTTTTGATGAAATTTCCGGTTATAACAAATTTTGACTGGCCCATATGTTGATCGTCATTTATGTCCTCACGACCAGTTTCGAAACTTTGAAACCGCTGTTGTTGTTATTGTAGCGGCAGAATTCTGCCGAGTTGACAGCCCTTGGCCGGATAAAAATCCGAGTCCGTTCCGATTACGTAGACCCGACTGTCGTGGGAACGGCATTGAAACCTTGTTTCTTCAATTGAAACATTTCGGTAAAAGTTTTACCAATTTTAAAACAATATTTAATGTCGGCTCTTTGTTCGAAGCCCATCTTCGCACCGACAACACCAACAAACTGACACTTAAAACAAAATAACTTCACTTCTAATAGATGAAATGTAATGAAATTCTCACTGGACAACCGATGAAAATAGCAGATTCTAATGCACTATTCGGCATATAGCCACTAGGGGCGCTAGTTTCAAAAAGTCCTGTTTACTTTGGAACTCTCTTTTTTGCTATAGTAGTCCGATATTGGCGGAATACRGACAGACAGACAGACGTGGCTAAATCGCTCCGCTGTTCAGGGTATAAAAATGCATACACATACCTAGTTATTTGTGTACAAATATACATATTTGTATGCGTGTTTGTGTAACGTTAACGTGCAACACGCCCACTTACCGTGCCATCAACAATATGCGATGAGCATAAATACGTTCCTCCTCACGTCCGCAAATGAATACCAAATCGGCGCTCTCCTGATCCTCGGACAGACGTTGCAAGTCGGTGATGAGCTGTGGCAGGCCAGCCATAGCAGCCTGATCGCAGTGTAATGGTGTGGGGCAAGGTGGTGGAACACGTGTGCCCATTGTTGTTGCACCGTCGATTGGAACAAACTGAGCGAATGCTCTCAGTTGTGTACTTTAGCTTGTTGTTGTTGTAAAKTTATGTCTGTTAATTAATGTTGCAACAAACTAGTTGACTAGCTGCGTACTGCGTCCGCTTATGCGCTCTGCAACACACGGGTTGGTAGTTTTTTTAATTGTTTTCTTATTTTATTCTTCGTTGCATGCGTTTGCCGCCAAACTCTTTCGTTTGTTTATTTTGTTTCAGTTTTTTTTATGCGCCTGTCTTATTGTTGCTGTCAACAGCGATGGCAACTAATCATTTGTTGCACGTTTACGTTTGTCACTTGAGTCTCTTTCATGTGGATATACATACCTTTGTGTATATATTATGTGAATGCAGTTAGGAGCACGTGCTATTTTCAATTATTGCTATTATATTTAGTGTTGCTTTTTATATTCGAATGGCAATCGAACCGTATTTAATTGAAAGACACTTGTAGCTTTACCGCAATGATATCTGGGATTATATACATATATATTTAACTTGATTTTATATGAATTGATCGCATTATATAAAATAATTTCATTATAGTACGACGCGGGACATGTGGATGGCACAAATCCATTGGAGAAGGACACAATGAGCTTTTCTACAAGGAAGGTTCGGCCTCGAGAAGCTGCAATTGCTACAGACAGCCGAACGATTTTCTATTCGACTTGCACTGCTGCTCGAAGAAGAGCACTCATCAATCGGTATAAGAGAACTGTGAGACGTACAGCTGCACGAAGAAAAAAGGGTTTTTGGAACATGCAAAATAACAGTGGAGAAAAAACAGACTGCCTACCTCGCAACGTTACAATCAACCACAACACTTGTGGGATAGGATAGATACCGAGAGTTGAAGAGGGAAGCGGGACGCATTTGCAGACAAAAAAGAGAGAGACCGAAATGCGTGAGTACGAATGCTTGAAAATTCTACGAAAAGATGCGGCGACGAACAGAAGGTTTCACGACCAGAGCGTACTCTTCTAGGACACCTAGAGGTGATGTAGTGACTGATGCCCAGAGCATACTGAAGTTATGGAGGGAACTTTTCTCCAGCTTACTAAATGGCAGTGAAACCATAAGCAGGAAATGGTGAACCTGATTTCCCAATCGATGACGATAGAGCGTAGGTTCCATTGCTTTACCAAGAATAAGTTCAAATAACAATTTCCCGTCTGAAGAAAAACAAAGCGGAAGGAGCCGATGGATTGCCGGCCGAGCTATTCAAACTCTGGTCGTTTTTAAAGCTGTTTTTGACAGCACGAAAAGGAGCTGTCTTTATGCCGCAATTTCTGAATTTGGTATCCTCGCAAAACTAATATAGCTGTGTAAACTGACGTTGAGTAACACCAAAAATCCCGCCAGGTTCGGGAAGGACCTCTCCGAGTCGTTCGATACCAAACGAGGGTTTAAATAAGGCGACTCCGTATCGTATGACTTATTCAACTAATTCTTGGATCTTGGAACTAGTTTTCACATCAACAACAATATCAGCGTTTGAAATCCCACACAGATTATCTCTTGCTAGCAGTTGCTACTTCGAATTGCGTAGACAGTTGTGAAATAAAGTTCTCTCTTGACGAGCAAATACCTAACTCTATATGTCACTCATTATTCCCGTCGACGTTACGAGTTTTCGAGAGCAAGGTTCTGTGGATGATTTATGGTCCTTTGCGCGTCGGCCACGGCGAATATCGCATTCGATGGAACGATGAGCTGTACGAGATATACGACGACATTGACATAGTTCAGCGAATTAAAAGACAGCGGCTACGTT